TTCTGTTTGCCATAGTGGAAATGAGAAGAGATTGTTTTGGGTTTTGTTTCTGTTTTTGAGACAAGGTCTCTCTGTGTAGCCATGGCTCACCTGGAAATTGATATGTAGACAAAGCTGGCCTGGAACTCACAGAGATAAACCTGCCTCTGTCTCCTGGAAGCGTGTACTTACATAATCAGAAAGAAACATAAGGGTTAAGAAGTTGAAGCACTATTGGTAAAGCTGGTGGGAAGCTGCTCAGGGTGTCCTCATGGAAGCCTCGGCAGACCCTGCTTAACTGGGCTGTCCATTAATATTTTCACAAGTAAAATTGTATAGTGAACTTGAATTTAGTGAAACTATTGAGCTTGTCACTTCAGAAATAACATGCTACCTTTAGAAAATGTCATGGGAGTTAGAATGTGCTTTGAATTCCAGCTCTATGCCAGTTGCATGGTCCTGAGCAAATCACATTCTTTCCACATCATTCTTACCACCTATGAAATAGAAGAAAATGTCCAATAGAGAAGTACATGCACTTTTCTTTAATGACTGTCGTACTTCACCACCTTATCTTTTGCCAGTAACAAAAGTTTAACTTAAATTTTCCTAAAAATTTTTTTTTTACTTATTTTTATTTTATGTGTATGAGTGTTATACCCACATGTATGTAAGTATACCCATGTTGTGCAGTGCCCACGGAGGACAAAAGAGGGCATAGGATCCCCTGGAACTGGAGTTATGGACAGTTGTTAGCCACCATGGGAGTGCTAAGATTTGAACCCAGCTCTTGTGTAAGAACAGCCAGTGTTCTTAACTCCTGAGCCATCTCTTTCGCCCCTAAAATATTTTTTAATTCATATATGTAAAATCAGCCATCCTTTTCAGTTTTGTGTGTATGTGCAGACTCACCCATGCCACAGTGATATGTGGAGGTCAGAGGACAGCTCTCAAGAGTCATCTTGCCTACCCCCTTGTAGGATCTGGGAATTGAACTCAGGTCAACAGCCCTACATGCAAGTACCTCTGTATCTACTGAGCCATCTCACTACCCATCAAGCCATCCTTTTTTAAAAAAAAAAAAATCTTCCAGCCAGGCATGGTGGCAGATGCCTTTAGTCCCAGGACTCAGAAGGCAGAGGCAGGAAGATCTTTGTGAGTTCAAGACCAGTCTGGTCTCCATAGCAAGTTCCAGGCCAGCTGGGGCTACAGGAAGACCCTGTATCAAAAAGACCCAAAAAACAAGTCTTCCAGCTACATGTGTGTATGTGTATTATACACACACATACACACACACACACACTCTTATATGTAGCAACTATTTTCTTTATGCTGTGGGAAATATTTTCCTCTTGGTCTCCCTGAACAGCACTGTACTATATTGCTACCAACTTAACACTTGTCAACAATAGAAACAATTCTTTTTAGATTTGGGTTGTGGTGGTGGTGGTGGTGGTGGTAGTGGTGGTCTTTTTTGCGACAGGGTCTCCCTGTAGCCCCAGCTGTCCTGGAACTCACTGTGTAGACGAGGCTGGCCTTGAACTCACAGAGATCCACCTGCCTCTGCCTCCCAAGCACTGGGATTAAAGGCGTGCGCCACCTAGCAAGGCTTAAGTTTTAATACAATTACATGCGATTACTTTATTACTCTTTGGAGGAATGGTGACTATAACCAAATAGCAAGCATTATCCAATAAAATTAGTATGAACAATTGTCTTTAACATCCCCAAAAGTGAACTAAATTGAATTACATGAATTATAATAAAGCTACAGAACAAAAATTTTATATAATCAAGAAATTCATATAACTATTAGTAATGTATGTAGTAACTTATATAACACATGAAAGCTTATGACACATTCCCCTACTACCATTGTTAAAATAGATATTAATGTCCTTAAAGTGTCTTTGAAGATTAATTTCTCTTATTAGAATAACAATACTTTTGGACAATAGCTTACAATCCAAAAAAGCTAAAGAAAATAACATGGGTTTGTTAGTTGATAGAAAATATAAAATTTGGCAGCTGGAGAGCTGGCTCAGCAGTTGCACTGGCTGCTCTTACGGAGGACCCAGGTTCAGTTCCTAAGACCTACATGGCAGCTAACAACCATCCATAACTCCAGTTCCCGGGGACCTGACCCCCTCTTCTGACCTCTGTGGGCATTGCACAGCACAGGTGCACCTACATACATGCAGGCAATACACTAGAGCACATAAAATAAAAATAATAAAGTCAGGCATTGTGGTGCATGCCTTTCATCCCAGCACACGGAGGCAGAGGCAGGAGGATCTCTGTGAGTTTGAGGCCAGCGTGGTCTACATAATGAGTTCCAAGCCAGCTAGGACTACAGGGAGACCCTCTCTCAAAAAGACCAAAAAACAAAAAGCTAAAATATAATAAAAACAATTTTTAAAAAAAAAAGAAAATACAAAATTTGGGGGCTGGAGAGATGGCTCGGAGGTTAAGAGCACCAGCTGCTCTTACAGAGGACCCAGGTTCGATTCATAACACCCACATGGCAGCTAACAGCCATCCTTAACTCTAGTTCCAGGGGATCCAACACCCTCTTCTGGCCTCCATGGGCATTGCATGACATGGGTACACTTACATACATGCAGATATAACACTCATACACATAAAATAAAAATAAAGTAGGGGCATCATTTTAGGAGAATTTAAGTTAAACTTTTGTATGTTTTATATGTGCATATAAAACACTACACATGAAATAAAAATAAATCAAAAGTTTTTTATTCAAGGAAATATAAAATTTAGGGCCAGCAAGATGGCTTAGCAGGTAAAGATACTTGCTGCCAAGCCCAAATATCTGAGTTTGATCTCCAGGACCTACATGGTAGAAGGAAAGAGCTAACTCCAGCAAGCTGTCCATACATGGGGTCATGGCATAGACACAGCCCACACATACATACAAAACATTTGTTAAGAAAAAAAAAATATATAAAATTTCATTTGTTAAAAATTTTGTGATGTGTAGTTAAGATTTCTCAACTAAAGTCTTATCCCCCAGTTGAACACAATGAAAACAGAAACCCAGAGAAGTGTGAGGACTCTGAAGGAGGAGGTCCAGAAGCTGGATGATCTTTACCAACAGAAAGTCAAGGTAAGACTTGACTTACCAGTTTGTTCATGTTAGCCAATGCTATGTCATGACTGATTACCTGTATACATATTGTGACATCAAAATGAAATCTTAGCCAGATGTGGTAGTACACATCCGTAATTGCAGCTACTCAGGAGGATCTTGGATTGATGCCCTCATACATAAAGACAGTGAGACACTGAAACCACCCAGAAGAACCAGGCATGGAATCTGACACTTGTAATCCTTGCATTTGGGAGGCTTAAGCAGGAGGGTGGCCACAGGTTTCAAGTCTTCCTGGGCTACATAGGGGACCATTTCTCAAGAAATAACTAAAATCATAATCTCTTCTACCTGTTTATAGAGATTGACTGTTAAGGACTCCCAAAACAATGGACCCCAGTAAGGTGTTTTGTATAAGTAATTGCCCATGAAAAATCATTGCAAGCTAATTAGCTTGATCAAATTCCAGACAATTTACAAGAACTCCAGAAGGTGGGTAAGGTTGGATGCCACTGCTCTACTCCACCCTAGGCCAGCATTTTTCTTAGAGACGTATTAAGTGACTCTGTTCGTTACCACTTACATAATTTAAGTGAAAATTGTAGTTATGCCATGATATTTTACTTACACCAACAAAGTATCAAGAGTGAAAACTTCTAAGCCAGATGTGGTGGTGCACGCCTTTAATCCCAGCAGAGGCAGATGCAGACGGATCTCTGTGAGTTCAAGGCCAGCCTGGTCTACTTAACAAGTTCCAGGCCAGCTGGGGCTACAGGAGACCTTGTCTCAAAAAGACCAAAAAAAAAAAAGTGATAACTTTGTCTTGTCCTGCATTATATATAGGATATTGTTGAGGCAGTATGAAATGTTTAGAAAATGTACCAAAAGTCTGATACACATGTGAAATGTGAACTATTTAGTATACATTTTATTATCAGATTTCTTCCATGTTTGCATTTATTCTCTGAAACACTTAAAGACTTTATAAGTACTTAAATGAAATATTTTATAAGTACATACTACATTGTCCCAAACCTAGAAATAGAGATTGGAGCTACTTTTACTGTACATAGTTAATACCCCTGCAAATTTTTAATCAGAATACCATAAGTTCCCTGTATTAGATTTGCAACCAAGTCTAATACCAAGTCTTGCAACCAAGAGAATGGCTGTGATACATAAGTCTCTAGAAAAAAGTCACATTTGTGTTTATCATATGGAATCCCCAGTGGAACATCTTAAGAATGGAGTAAAATCCTTAAAAAGGAAAGAAAGCAGAAAACATCCTGGGATACACATGACACCACCTCATGTTTTTTAGTGCTTTGCACACTTTCTTTAAATTTACCTTGAACATATAGAATATCAGTATCAAGAAAAATCACTTTTCCCTGGCAGGAGGCTGAGGAAGAGGATGAGAAATGTGCCAGTGAGCTTGAGTCATTGGAGAAGCACAAGCACCTGCTGGAGAGTGCTGTTAACGAGGGCCTCAGTGAAGCCGTGAATGAGTTAGATACTGTCCAACGGGAGTAAGTTCACCTCTCTCCAAGATTTGTGTTTCTTTCCAGATTATTTAAACCTTGAAAGGCTAGTTCTAATTTTTTCCTTTAGTTTCTATTTTAAAACTGTCTGGGATGGGAAGAAGGGTAAGTAGAACTTAAACAGAACAACTTAAAAGTTGAGACTCACCGGCTGTGGTGACACACGCCTTTAATCCAAGCAGTTGGGAGGCAGAAGCAGGCAGATCTCTGTGAGTTCAAGGCCAGCCTGGTCTACATAGTGAGTTCCAGGACAGCTGGGGCTACAGGGAGACCCTGTCTCAAAAAGACCCCCAAAAAAATAAAGTTGAGACTTAATTCTGCTACTGCACAGTTATTGCCCACCTAGAAATCCTTTGCTCTACATCTAATTAATAGATGGCTTTTAATGCCTGAAAACAACCTAAAATGTTTAAGTCAATTTAAATAACTATTTGGCAGTGAATTTAATAAAGTCCGCTAAAAGTCTTTAAAGTTCTGTCTCCTAGAAACTATTTGTATTACATAATAAAATGTAATTATCCAGTCTTCTGTAACACAACATATGCCTTACTAATAATCACCACATTGTCCCACACAGTAGAATAGAAATTACAAGACCTTCTGGGTGTAGTGGTAGTATACCTTTAATCCCAGGTGGCAGAGGCAGGTGGATCTCTGTGAGATCAAGACCAGCCTGGTCTACGTAGTGAGTTTCAGGCCAGCCCGGTCTACGTAGTGAGTTTCAGGCCAGCCTGGTCTACGTAGTGAGTTTCAGGCCAGCTGGGGCTACAGGGAGACCCTGTCTCAAAGCAAAAACAACGCCAAAAGAAATTACAAGATGTGGGAAAATGAATATTGGTACAGCCTGCAAAAACTACATCAGAGGCACATGTGAACTAATGGAAATTTAGCACAACTCTACACGTTAAAGACTAAGAAATACATAAATGCTACAATAAATAATGGAACGCTTCTGCTTCAGAAGACCTGCAAAGCCAGGCATTGTCACTTAGCACTTGGGCCGAGACAGCTAGTGTGCCATGAGTTCCAGGAGATCCATGGCTATGAGACCCCTGTCTCAAAAACAGAAAAAAGGGACCTGCAGTTTGCTTTGGGAAAATGGGGATTCCTAGGGTTGCAGCTCATGAGTTGTGAAGAGGTAAAAGGTTTATCTCAAATGGGATGGAAAGTTGTAACAGCATCATGGCTGATGACACATGCAGTGAACTGAAGCAGATGGTGGACATTTGGGATGTGTGCTTACGTATGGTGTTTGACTGGAGTCAGTCAGATGTAATGTTTTGCATTTACCAGTTATTTCTCAAGGAACACATTAGCATAAGAAAACATGAAATTGTATTTTGCTCAGATGACTGCACTGTGCTAATAGATGAATTTATTTTCTGGGCATCTCAAGAGTTTTCAATTCTGTAGGTACCAGCTAGTTGTACAGACCACAAGCGAACAAAGAAGAAAAGTGGGGAATAACTTGCAGCGTCTTTTAGAGATGGTTGCGACCCATGTGGGGTCTGTCGAGGTAAGCAGTGGAGGTTTTTCCTGAATTCTGAAAATCATTTTTAAAACTTCAGTGAATTTCTGCTTTGTTTCTATGCAAATTAAATCATAAATTTTACTTTTTTTTTCTTTTTTTTTTTTTTTTGGTCTTTTGGAGACAGGGTCTCCCTGTAGCCCCAGCTGGCGTGGAACTCACTGTGTAGACCAGACTGGCCTTGAACTCAGAGATCTGCCTGGCTTTGCCTCCCGAGTGCTGGGATTAAAGGCATATACGACTTTGCCCTGCTTACATTTTACTTTTATTTTATTGGAAGACTCTTTCCTACTGTTGTGGCAAAGTTACAGAAGAACACTTGTATACTTTATAATGTTTTGTTCACATGCACACACCCACAAAAACATGCAACACGCACAGGAGGAGGGAGAGAGAAAAAGAGGAAAAGAAAGGAAGAAATCCTGAAGTAAGCCAGCCATGGTGTGCTGTCCCTATGGTCCTAGGATCTGGGAATCTGAGGCAAGAGGATTGCTCTGGGCTCCCACCCAGTCGTCAAAAGAGTCCAAAAAAGATGCATGAGCACAGAAATGAAATTGATATGTAAGAAAAGCAGACCTGCAGAACACTGAGGGAATGAACTATTCAGTTAATAGCATTGGATCCCTGTCTTACACTGAAATCGGGACTGGGAGGACTACAAACAATGGGAAGCTAAATTTTGTACTTTTGGAAGAATGGTAAGACTATCACCACAACCCATGGATTGTAAAGATGTTCCTAAATTAGACACAAAAGCTATAAACTCAGCTTAATTACTCCTTAGCCTAGTGTGGTTGCACATACCTGTAATCCCTGTGCTTGGAATGCTGAGGCAGCAGGATCAGGAGTCTGGCCTTAGCTACACAGCAAGAGTAAGGCTAGCCTAGGCTATGTGTGACTTGTCTCAAAAAGAAAAATTGAGGTCTTTCTACATTAAAATACATAGAATAAGAGTAAAAGACCACAAACTGGTAGAAGATACGTTAAATATCTGAGGTTGAGCTCAGTGGGGTGTTTACCAAGAGTATTGCAAGTACAAGGCCAGCCTGCACTACATAGCAAGACCATGTCTCAAAAAAGAAAAAAATCAGGCCAGGCGTGGTGGCTCACGCCTTTAATCCCAGCACTTGGGAGGCAGAGGCAGGTGGATCTCTGTGAGTTCAAGGCCAGCCTGGACTACATAGTGAGTTCCAGGACAGCTCCGGCTACAGGGGAGACCCTGTCTAAAAAAGAAAAAGAAAAAAAGAAAAAAATCAAAAGGTTTGGCATCATGGTTCACATCTATAATCTCAGCACCCAAGATGCTGAGACAGAAGTATTACCACAAGTTCGAGGCCATCCTGGGCTACATAATGAGGCCTAGGCCAGCTTAAAAAAAGCTGAGAAAGATTAATATCCAGATGTATAATAGTCTTTAAAAAGTAAATCAAAGTTGAGGGACAAGCAAGATGGCTCAGTGAGTAAAGGCACTGACTACCCAAGTTCAATCCCTGGAGCCCACATAGTGGAAAGAGAGCCAAGTCCTGAGAGCTGTCCTCTGACCTCCACACATGCACTGTGGCATGCTTGCACTCACACTCATACATTCATGAACACAAAAGAATAAGTAAATTTTTAATTAGAAGAAGATAAAAATGTAGTGTATTACAGTTTGAAAGTAAATTTCCTTAAGGTAAAAATGGGCAAAATACTTGAATAAAGACTCCATGAAAGAAAGAGCAAATGGGGCTAATGGAAAAAATATATTCCACACTCAGGAAAGTAGCACAGAATAATGGGTAAAAATAGCAAAAGTGGAGAGGTGGAAGGTCTCATTTACTCTGGTGGTGGATATATAAATGAGTACAACAGGTTTAGAAAACACGTATCAGTCCCTAATAAAAGTAAAAGTACACATGCCTACAGAGTTCCATCCTGAATATTTGCCCTAAACAAACCTTGATGCTGTGTGCTAAGGGATTTTTACTAGGTTGAGTAACATTTCCCAAAATTCACATGTATATAGACTCTCAGAATGTGACATTTTTGGAAGTATAATCTTTACAGATGAAGTTGATTACACATACTGACTAGGACAGGCCAAGTCTACAGACTGGTGTCCTTGTAAGAAGGCCACATGCAGAGAAATTGGGATGGGAGTGTTGCAGCTACAGGCTAAGCCAGGACCAGCAGAGACCACAGATTCCCATCTGTGAAGCAGCCAAGAAGGGTTCTTCTCTAGCCTGCAGAGAGGGCATGGCCTTCCTTACATCTTGATTCCAGACTTCTAGCCCTAGAGCCATAAAAGAATAATTGAGTATCTCTAACCCACTCACTTGTGGTAATTTGTCGGAGTATAACATTCAATTATTTACAATGAAAGGAATTACTGTTATATATTAGTTTCTTATTGCTGCTATAAAAAATCATCACCAACTTAATAACTTGAAGCAACTTTTAAAAAATATTTACTAAATGATTTTATGTGTATGAATGCATGTAAGTGCACCATGTGTGTACTGTGACTAGAGGAAAGAAAAGGGCATCAGATCCCTTGGAAATGTAGTTACAGACAGTTGTTAGCCACCTTGAATTCATAACAATCCTCCTACTTCAGCATCCCAACTGGTGGGATTGCAGGCATGAGCCACAATGTCCAGCAGCATAAATTTTTCTTGCAACTCTGGAGGTTAGAAGTCTACAATGATTCCAACAAGCTAAGCCTTGTAGGCTTCTAGCATAAGATCCATTGCCTTCCCTTCTCCACTATGGAGAAGCCACCTCCAGTCTTTAGTTTGTGACCTCTTGCTCCATCTTCACGGCTAGCAACTGGAAGCTGGGCATGGTGGCTCACACCTCTAAACTCAGCACTCTAGGCTGAGGCAGTGAGGATTACCACAGTTTCAGCCTAGACTGTAGAGTGAAACCCTGTCTCAAAAAATGGGCTGGAAAGATGGCTGAGGATAAAGGCACTTGCTGCCAAACTCGATGATCTGAGTTCCCTGGAACCCACATGGCAGGAGAGAACCAACTCCTGAGAGTTGTCCTCTTACCTCCACACATGCACCAGAAGCACACACATACATGTTCTAAATAAGTAAATGTTAAAAATAAATAACAATTAAAAAGACAGTGTGGTGGCTTTAATCCCAACACTCAGGAGGCTGAGACAGGTGGATCTCTAAGTTCAAGGCTGGTAAGACTGGATGGATGGATGGATGGATGGATGGATGGATGGATGGATGGATGGATGGATGGATGGATGGATGGATGGATGGTAAAAAAGCTTGGTGCATGATGGGTTTTGCTGCCCTCTGCTTCTGCCCTTTTCTGCCTGACACCACTGATGTCCTCCTATAAAGACCCTTATGACAGCATTGAGCTTCCCTAGAGCATGCAGAACAATTTCCTGTTGTCAAGGTCTTTAGCTTAAGGCTGGGTTTAAGGAATGATACATGACCATAATTTCAGCACTGGGTAAGCTCAGGCAGGAGGATCATAAGTTTGTATCAAAATATGAATAAAACAAAAACCCTTAATCCAATCTGTATCATTCCTTTTCCCATGTTAGATAACATAGTCATGGTTTCCTAGAATTGAGTCACAGACATTTGGGAGGTAGGGGATTATAATTTAGCCTGTCATAACTAAGGAAAAAAATCCACAAAGAGCAAAAAAAGACTGTTATCCATCAGTATACAAATAAACTGTAGCTGTCTGCATTTACATAGGCAAACTAAAATACTGGGCAAAAACTGGGTGTGACAATGATACATGCCTGTAATCCTGACATTACAGAACTTGAGACATGAGGACTGGAGGCTGAGGCAAGAGGATTACCATGATTGCCAGGCTGTCTCAAAACAAAAGGAAGAAAAATACAAGCAAGAAAAATATCATATATTACATTTAATAATATGAAGGTTAAAGCCAAGTCCTACTGTGCTAATACAGTTATGTTTTGCGTAGTCGTAGGGACACATTTGAGAAATGTGTCATTAGGCAACTTGGCTGTTTTGTGAACATATAATGTCCTTTACAAGTGAAGATTTCATTAGATAGTATATTACGAGACCATCCTCTTGTGTGTGCTGTCCATTGTTCCCCAGAACAGCATATGCACATGTGACTGCCTATTATACATGCATACAGTAGTTCTGGGGACAGGGTGAAAAGTATAGCATCAAATAGGCAAATGGTTATCTCTGTAGAAGAAAAGGGAAAATATTAAGAAAATGGCATGTAAGCCAGGCGTGGTGGCACATGCCTTTAATCCTAGCACTGCGGAGGCAGAGGCAGGTAGATTTCTGAAATTAAGGGTAGCCTGGTCTACATAGTGAGTTCTAAAGTAACTGGGGCTGCAAGGAGACTCTAAAAAAGAAAGAAGAAAGGAAAAAGTGACATGAGTGTGAAAACAAGAATATTCTGTTTTTTACTTTTGTAACAGGGTTTTGCTTGGTAGCCCAAACTGGTATTAAGCTGGTAATCCTCCTGCCTCAACCTGCCAAGTGCTGGGATTACAATCTGTACATTATATCCAACTGGTTCTGTTGTTAATTTATAAATGTTGTTCTTGTTTGTAAATGTCACACTTGAAACAAAATACTTACCTTACCAATTGTTCCTCTAGAAACATCTTGAAGAGCAGATTGCTAAAGCTGATAGAGAGTATGAAGAATGCATGTCAGAAGATCTCTTGGAAAATATTAGAGAGATTGCAGAAAAGTATAAGAGTAATGCCTCTCTGCTTAAGGCTTCTGATGAATGAAGATAAATTAATGGTGATTATCTTGTATCTTTCCTAAACATAGTTCATTAACTGAAAATGTGTCCTGAAGTTATGATAACTTGTTGGATTTTTTTTATATAAAAAAACAGTTAATAAAGTATATCAGTTAAGAGTGTTTTTTTTCCTTCTTATGCCTTACTTCAGATGTGATGAGAAGGTACAGATAGGCTAACCCAGGAGTTACCGAACTGCCACGTGGGCCACACCAGACACCCTAATCCACTGACATGCCTACCACTGCTTTTGAACACTGTTTATGAAATCAGCTTCGTATGGAGCTGTGTCCCCAGTAGGAAGACGCATGAGGGTAGAATCATAGTGGAACCAAGAGCTGTTCTTGGCTTGGCATCAATCGCAGTGACTCTGGGAGTTTTGTGTTTCCTGATGTCAAATCTTTGGACTAGAGGTCGTGTTCCCAAAGTGGACACGTTCTTGTCTAGAGATACTGCAAGGGTACTTCGATCTACCAGTGACAGCTGCCACCACAACATTTTGGACTCCTGGTACTTGGGGATTAGTAGGAAAATAAAGGAGCCTCCATCATGGCAGGGATAAATAACTCTGCTCAGCAAGGACATGGACATGCCTTATATAGTGATGGCAGAATCAAGCGATGTGATGTGCCTCAGCCAGTCTGCCATTGCCCTACAGTAACCTTGAAATGTTTTGAGTATTTTCCCATTAATCATAACAGCTTCTGTGTTGCATTATAGATAGCCAAATAAAGAAGCACTAGCTGGGCGTGGTGGCATACACCTTTAGTCCCTCAGAGGCAGGTGGATCACTGTGAGTTCAAGGCCAGCCTGCTCTACATAGTGAGCTCCAGGCCAGCTGAGAAAAAAAGAAACACCCGTTTCCTTTTTTGTTTCTTACTGTATTGTTAAATTTTATCAAATGATTCAAGGATCTAGGACATTGGTATATGATTTTTTTTTCCAAATATTTTCATATGATCATTTACCTCAGTATGATTATCGCCAGAGTTCTCTCTGGGTCTCTTGTGCTATCAGGCAAACCATATAACATATCTTTATGTGCATTTATTATTATCATGGGGGGGAGGGGAGTGACTTACTAAAAAGGAACACCCGTGCCTAGCTCCCCACCATGCTGTGGCTCAGACCCCACCATATCAGTTCCCGTGGCATGCCCACGCCTCGGGCCAGTGGTCTTGTCCCAGGTCCATAAGTGCCAGGCCATTCTGTCCTTGAGTACACCCGGCTGTTGCGAGTTCCCCAGGCCCGTCACTGTACTTCCTGGTGGCTCATGGCTTCTATCTCAAGATGGCTCCCAGCAGCCCCTCAGTAGTCCCTTCTCCATGGCAGGCCCCGTCCCTTGGAGGAGCCAGTCACCTGGGAGACAATGATCAATATCCTCACAGGCTGGGCTTTAGCTCAGTGGCAGAGAACTTGCCTAGCACCCATGAGGGCCTAAACAAATTAATTTGCTGTTTAATTTTCCACAATTCCAGGAAATCATAAAATCAATATAGTTTATGTAAATTATTGAAATGTATACAATTAAAAGTTTTAATTTTTGCATATTTGAGCTCTTTTCCTAGAGTCAAATAGCAAATGGTTCCTCTATGAAATTAGTGTTTCTGCTGAATACTTCTTTCTGGTTTAGTTTTCAAGATACTTAGATCATTTATTGACTGCACATGATAATGGGTTGTACACATTTTGTTCCATCATTTTATCTGGTGCCATTATTCAGTGTAGAAATTACATAGGCTAGCCAGCAATAATTTTTAGCAAATATTTAAATCACTTATTGTCATTAAGTTACAGCATCAGAATATACATAGTGTATGGAAAAACAGATACTTCTTCACCACTGGAAATCATGTTTTAGATATATTGTGGTCATGAAAGAATGTCAAAAATTTTGTATGATTAAGGCTTATAGTTAAAAAATTAAACAAATATCACTAGATTATTATTAGAGATGACTGGAGATAAAGCTATCATTCAAAACTAAGTTAATTGCATATTTTGAGCTACTGTTTACAAAGAGAATATAAAATATTCAGCATTTGTAAGGCAGTAGAGAGTTGGTTTAAGGACTCTCAGCTGTTTCTATAAAGATGGCATGGTTATTAAACAGCATTCTGCTGTCTCCTGAGCAAGACTGTTTATGCTGATGGCACCTGTGACTCAGCAGCAGTGACTGGGGTGCTGTCACTTTCAAAAGCTGGTTCTTGGGCTGCTGGGCAGATGCCTGCTTACTCATCTGTAGTGCCTTATGCTTCCTGAATGAGCAGACAGATGTCATGAATGTCAAAGAACAGCAACAACGTGAATGTCATCTGCCCACTGATGATCTCTGGAGACTTCATGTCATTGATGACAGCAATGGGGAGACCCCAGCTAGTGCTTACTCATGGGGTAGTCCTGGACTGCTTTCCGTACCAACGTGCCATCCATGACCACTTTGGATCAGCCGCTCCTGAGACCCAAAGACACTCTCACCTACCTAGCTGAGGCCCTCAGTGCTCACCCAGTGCACTGCCTTGCAATCCAAAAAACTCATTTTTATAGCCAAATAGTTCTGTGACTTTGCTTGAATGACTCTTTTCAGTAAGTTAGACTCATAGTCACAACAGTAACTGCCAGTTCAGCTACACCAGCATTTCTGAAGACAGTGGTTTCTCTACACTTCCAACAGAACCTAGCATCATCCTGAAGGAGCTCAACGTCACACTGTCGCTGTGTGTGTCTGTGTATGTACATACCACATGTGTGTGTGTGCCTGTGGAGGACCAAAGAAAGTGACAGTTCCCTTAGAGTTGGAGTTATAGGTGATTGTCAGTTCCCTACATGGATGCTGAGAACTTAACTCAGGTCTTCAGGAAGAACAGCAAGTGCCCTTAACCACTGGGCAATCTCTCCAGCCCTACTTTGTGTGTGTGTGTGTGTGTGTATGTGTGTGTGTGTGTAGATGTATATGAGTGTATGGATCTACAGGGCAACCTTGAGTATGCTTCCTCAGGTGACATCTTTCTTTTTGTCTTTTTGAGACAGGGTCTTCCTGTAGCTCCAGCTGTCCTGGAACTCACTATGTAGACCAGGCTGGCCTTGAACTCACAGAGATCCACCTGCCTCTGCCTCCCGAGTGCTGGGATTAAAGCCACCACACCTGGCTCTTTTTTTTTTTTTTTTTTTTTGAGACAGGGTCTCACTGGCCTGGAGCACACCAAGTAGCCTAGCCTAAGCTCCTGGTTAGAGATCCCCAGGGATCACCTGTCTGTGTCTTCCTAGCACTAAGATTACAAACAGATATCATGATTCCAGCTTTTGGGGGTGTACTACACTTAACTTGCAGACTCGACTTTGGTTCCCAACACCCATGGCAGGGAGCTCGCACCTGCTTGTAACCTCAACTTCAGGGAATCCCAGGCCTCTGGCCTGTGGGGGCTGCTAATGTAAAATAAGAACCGACCTTTGTTTGTTTGGGTTTGGTTTTTTTTTTTTTTTTTTTTTTTTGGTCTTTTTGAGACAGGGTCTCCCTGTAGCTCCAGCTGCCTGGAACTCACTCGGTAGACCATGCTGGTCTCCAACTCACAGAGGATCCGCCTGTCTCTGCCTCCTGAGTGCTGGGATTAAAGGCGTGCGCCACCATACCCGGCCAGAACCAACCTTTTAAAAATATATTTTGCGGGCTAGAGAGATGGCTCAGTGGTTAAGAACACTAGTTGTTCTTGCAGAAGACCGGGGTTTGAATCCCAGCACCCACATGGCAGCTAACAACTACTGTCTGTAACTCCAGTTCCAGGAGATCCGATGGCCTCTTCTGTCCTCGTGGGCATTGCATGACACAGATGCACTTACATGCAGGCAATACATGCATGTACATAAAATTTTAAAAATAAAAAATATATATAAAAAATTTGTGAAAAAAAATTTTTAACTAATTTTGGGGGGGGCGGCTTGCACACATGACATGGTATCAAACTTGGGCATCAGGCTAGGTAGCAAGCATCTTTATGGCTGAGCCATCTCATCAGCCCCTAATTTTTTCATTACATTTATTTACTTATTTGTGTGTGTGTCTGTGTGTCTGTGTGTGTCTGTGTCCCCGAAAACAACGTAGAGGTCAGAGGACAACCAGCAGGAGGGTCCCAAAGGTTGAGTTCAGGTCGTCAGGCTTATCAGCAAGCACCTTTACCAGATGAGCTATTTCACCAGCCTGATGCCAGCTTTTTTATAAACATGGATTCTGAGACTTGAACTCAGGTCTTTGTGCTTGGAAGGCAAAGGGGCAGCTTGCACACATGACATGGTATCAAACTTGGGCATCAGGCTAGGTAGCAAGCATCTTTATGGCTGAGCCATCTCATCAGCCCCTAATTTTTTCATTACATTTATTTACTTATTTGTGTGTGTGTCTGTGTGTCTGTGTGTGTCTGTGTCCCCGAAAACAACGTAGAGGTCAGAGGACAACCAGCAGGAGGGTCCCAAAGGTTGAGTTCAGGTCGTCAGGCTTATCAGCAAGCACCTTTACCAGATGAGCTATTTCACCAGCCTGATGCCAGCTTTTTTATAAACATGGATTCTGAGACTTGAACTCAGGTCTTTGTGCTTGGAAGGCAAACATTTTATCAACTAAGCTATTTCCCCAGCCCTTTCACAGTACATTTTTTTAAAAGACATTTATTAAGCAACACAGTCAGACTATTATATTTTACAACCAACAACATGGATAAAAACCAAAATTCTACATTAAAATCCTGCGGAGTGCTCTGTGCTTTTCATAGAACAGAAACTGAAATAGCCTATTGTACAGTTGGTCACAAATACAGTCCTTGAGGGTTTTTGTCCCACTAGCTCCTGCCCCCACTGTGTTTGGCTGAGTTCACAAATCCATTGTCACCTGTAGCTTCCCTGTCACTTCTCTGGCTGTCTTCTTTCCTGGCAGTAATTAGAGCCTTCTGCCACAGCTCTTGCTGCTGCTGGAACTTTGCTTTTGTGGTTTGGCAAAGTATTGGCCTTCACCGTCATAGCAGTCAACACTTCTGCCACTAAAGTGCCCTGCCTATGTAGGCCTGCCTGGCTGACTTCAAACTTGCAGCAATCCTGTTGCCTCAGCTTCTGAGTGCTGATATTACAGT